CTCCAGACGATCTGCGAGCCTCATTCTCTCCCCTGTAGTAGCCAGGTCTATGGTCAGTTCACATTCTCTCTTACCTGCTCATGCCGAGGTATCACTGCATGAGGGATGTGTGCTCAAGCCTTAGGAAGAAGCCAAGACTGTGTGTGTGTACGCTGTGTGTATGCGTTGTGTTTGTGTGTGTTGTGTGTATGTGTTGTACATGTGTGGTGTGTGGTATGTGAGGGTGTGTTGGAGGATGGGATTATTAGGAATTTTCTGGGTGTTAGCCTGTAAGGTTGCTGTTCTCAATAAGAAACAGGAGCATTCCACAATATTTGAGGGCCAGATAACCAGTGGATCATAGGTTGTAGGATTGCGGATGGTGTGTTCCCGGATCTGATGGGTAGGACTGTGGTAAGTACCGCTGAGCTCCTGTGGTTACGCTGGCAGTGGGTTGTCAGGTGGTGAGTAGACTAACCAATGGTCAGGAAGAGAGCAGCACCTCACTTTCTCTCCAGTTAGGCCTGAGTTTCATTAATTTACCTGACTATGGAGATCCCTGAATAAGCCTGTGACTTCTCCAGAGTCTGGGAACACAGCTGAACAGAAGCCGTTGCTTTGGGAAGACCTGCCCAGGACACCACAATGCTACCCAATCTTCCATGCCTGCCAGCTGTTCCAGGCAAAGCAGTCATTTGCTATTTCTTCCAGGGACTGGACTGGGCCTTACTGGGGACAGAGGTCAGACAGATCAGGAGACAGTTTTGAACTCACTGGGGGAGGGGCATGCAGTATGGCTGTCCCGGTACTGCTGTTGACAATGAGATCATGGACCCTTTGAGGTCAGGGCTATGATGTGTTTTAGTAACTGATAGGCCTCTGTGTGGCAGATGCTCAGTAAGGCTTATCAAATGAGCAGATAAGATGTGTTTTCTGTTGCTCAGAGTCCTGTTCAAGCTTTTTTTTTTAACTTCATTTTGTTAAATCAATTATTGTTTCTGACAAAATGTCACATACCATTCTTCTGTTGTCCCAGAAGGAATGTCCTTGGCTTCAGTAAGATGATCTAATGCCACTGTTTTCAACACTTTAGTGAGTGACTGCAGTGCAGAAAGTATAGAAGGATAATCCCATGGTGACCCCAAGTCTGGTCAGTATTGGGTTCTCTGAGCAACCCACAACTTTAGGAGGGATTCCTTATTTGCTTTACTTGAGGCCAGAGAGAGAGGTCTGTTTCACTGTTGCTGTTCCTGCTTTTGCATAGACCCAAAGAATCCTGACTAATGCCAGTGTTTCTCTTTTATTCTTAGACATTCTAAAAACATGACGGTTTCAATGGCTGTGTGTATTATTCACTTGTTTGTATGATTGCTGGTTTGTGTTTCTTGGTAATAGTGTAACTACTTCCCATCACTTTCCCTTTACAGTGCTGATATTTCCCCCAAGCAACACACTGAGAAAAATGGCAGAGGAAAAGAAGCTAGATAAATCTTCCCCCACAAAGCATGGCTGCTTTCCAACTCCTTAGCAGAACCCTTCCACTGGCCTTTTTCATTTCATTGCTTATTCACTCATTCTTCCCTTAAATTGTACCGAATTCTCACTATTGGAAGGATGCTATAGATTGTTTGGGGGCAGGAATAGCAAATGGTTTTCATCCCAGCAATCAGCTTTGATTGGTGGGGGTATTGTCAACATTGCATCTAGACTCAGTGGAAAAAGTGTGTTAGCATCTATTAGCTGGGCCTGACACGGCCCTGGAAGACAGACATTTGTATATACATACAATGCATTTGTCACTCCTAGTACAGCTTCCTGTTATTAACAATCTCTACTCTGAGACAGTTTCTGCTTACTCACATTTGTTGAAACAATTCATTTCATAATCGTATTTCGTCATCAGTTAGAAAGTTCTTTCCTGGTGATGTTGTGCAGTGTGAGGGGCCGAACTGATTTAGAAAACCAATTTTAGAATTAATGCTGACTTTGCGTTGACTAATTACATCTTTTTGGCTTCAGTTTTCTACCTAAGAAGCTGAACCGAGTAATCACAAGCCTGCCCCCTAGCTGTGATATTCTGTTTTCCACATGGGTCTATACTTGCATCTTGGTAACATGCTCTATTGGCTCTCGTTGTACAGTATGGGCTTATGTTAGAACCTTTCAAATATTTGTACAGCTGCATCCATCTGAGTTTTGTTTTTTCAACCAGTTTCTTTAATAATTTCTCCATAGGACAAGGGCTTCTAGACTTCTCACCATTCTGGCCATTCTCTTCTGGATACTTAAAGTTTATTGTGTCTCCCTAAAAGTGTGAGCTTCTGAAATGGGATCCAGGCTAGCTGTGCAGTAGAATATCCCTACTGCCCACTCATATGCTCAGCCTGCCTCTCCTGGCAATTGATTGCCACCAACACATAGCCCAAAGGAGAGACAGCCACGGAAACGTTCACAGACCCAGGGAGGTTGTATTCTGGAGTTTTATAGGCTTTCCTCCGAGGTTTCATGCTAGACAGATACAGGGAGCCAATGGGTCAAGTCAGGAAGGGTCAGTTGTTTCCCTGAGAGATCAGTAAGAGCTGGTTAACATGGCATAGGCACTATGTCATAAACGTGGAAGAAAGGCTTGCTGGGGATGCCACTGATGAATGTAGACATTCTTTCTCCCCATCCTCCCCTGCTTTAAAGCACTGAGCATTTCATCTCCAAAAGCAAATGAAGATCTCTTCAATCTGATTCCTGGGCTATATTATTTCCCATTCTCTCATATTAGTTTTCAGATACAGGCTGGCTTGGTACTTACTAAATAGTCTAGGCTGGCCTTTAAAGTCCAGCAATTCTGTTTCAGCATTTCCAGTGCTAGGGTTACAGGTGTGAGCTACCATGCTCAGCTATATTCTAATATTCTGTCACTTGGCCTCTTGGTTCCAGCAGATCTTGCGTTTATCCTTTATAGAAAAAGAGTAGGTTCAAAAGCTATTGCTGAAGATAAAGAAAATGAGAGCAAGGAAGAGAAAGGCAGTCTGGAGAGGGCTCTGATATGACCATGTGCATGCTAGAAACATCCCCAAAGAGACTGATGCCTTGACTCACTGGGGTCCCCTCTGCCACCCAAATTCCAAGGAAGGGAAGATCTTATGCTTCAGACCATGAGGTCCTACATGAGGTGGCCCCAGGCCATGTCTCTGGACTGTTCCCTTCCCTTATTTCTCCTTTGTTTAGATCCAGCCACCCAGTCTCTATGGGCTGTGAACCATGGTCCCACTCACGGGGTGTGCAAGATCTGTGCTGACAGCTCTCTTTGCCAGTGCTCAATTCTGTCTTAGTTAGAATGAGTCCTCGCCACACATCAGTGCCTAGTCTCTTCCTTCCTTCCTTCCTTCCTTCCTTCCTTCCTTCCTTCCTTCCTTCCTTCCTTCTTTCCTTCCTTCCTTCCTTCCTTCCTCCCTTCTTCCCTCCTTCCTCCCTTCCCTTTCTTCCTCCCTCAACCCCTCCTTCCCTCCCTTTCTCCCTCCTTTAGATTTCTGTGGTTCTAGGGATTGAACCCAGAGCCCCAGGCGTGCCAGAAAGCACTCTCCCCCTGATCTATATTCCCCAGCCCATCTTTTTGCATTCTGTTTCTGATTAAACCAGCCAGGTTAGGCTTGAATTTATTCTGTAATCCAGGCAGGGCTTGAATTACTGTCCTCCCACCTCATCCTGCCTAGTAGCCGGGGTCTCTGACCTTGTACCACAAAGCCAGCCGTCCTTATCTTTTAAACAGAGTCTGTCAGCTTCTAGCATATACTTATAAATTTATTTATATGCCATTGAACATGGGACTCTGCTTTTTTGTTTTGTTTTTGAGACAGGGTTTCTCTGTATTGTTTTGGAGGCTGTCCTGGAACTCACTTGGTAGACCAGTCTGGCTTCTAACTCAGAGATTCACCTGCCTCTGACTCCCAAGTGCTGGGATTAAAGGTGCGTGCCACCTACGCCCAGCTCTTCTTCTTCTTTTTTTTTTTTTTTTTTTTTTTTTTTTTGGTTTTGGGACTCTGCTTTGCTTCATCCGAAACCGATTCCTAGTGCCTCATTGAGTTCTCATCATACACTGAGCGCTCAGTTCATACTCTGGATGGTGTAACTTTTGAAGGCTCTTTCCCAATGTCTCTTAGAATAAGACTGGTCTCCAAGAGCACTTGGTGTTTTCCAGGGGAAGGATAATAAGTCTACTAGTTGACAAGTGAGTCACTGCGGATGGGAACGGTAGTTTCTTTGAGCAGCGCGGGCCTGTCCCAAGAGGCCCTGGTACAACTCACTGCAAAATCACTGTCGCTACAAGGCAGATAAAAGTCACCTCCCAAAGAGGAGAACTGTGCTTGAATTGAGGTGAGGTTGTGGGGGTAAATGGAGGGGAGGTGGGGGCAGCTTGTGTGTATCACCCAGAACCACCATGGCTCATTGCTAGATCCTGGGCTTCCCTGTTCCCTCCTTTTCAGGGACAGGCTGGCTTTCTGAGACTTGGTGAGAAAATGCCTATAGGTGGCAGAGGCGGGCAGCACGGATGACAGGTGGAGTGGGCACGTGCATTTCTGCAGCAGGAAGCTGGAGGAAAGGGGTAGAAGAAAAGTGAGACCAGGAGAGGGAAAGAATTATAAAAAGACAGGGACCTCGGAGAAAAGCCAGCAAGAGGGACCCCAGGAAGAAGAGGTGTGTAACGTGAACACACGAGCCAGTGGATTTTGCCCATCATTTGTCCCAGGTAAAGTGACTTTCTTGGCACTGGAGAGAAAAGGCAAAGTGTTAGCAGGATTGACTTCCTGAGTGGAGAGACTGACGTCACCTAGGAAACATACTCAAAACTGCCTCTGCTTCTTTAATACCTCCTTCCTCTCTATTATCAAGGCCTGGGTGGGGCCCCAGGATGAAACCCATTCCATCTGGATGGGAATAAGCATGAACCTTAGTAGCTACTACTCCCTGAGGATAAGTTTAACTCATTAAGTGTTTCGTTTTCCCAAGCAGCAATAAACAGCCTAGACTTTTTCAAAAAAGAATCATTCAATGGCAGAATGCATTTTCCAAAGATGGCCATAACAATATCCTCTATGGGGGATGTCAAAGTGACCTTGACGATCCTACAGTTGAGTGGTCAAAGCAACCTTGACAAGCCTACGGTTGAGCGGTAGGGACCTGGCTTTCCCCTTGAATTTAGGAGGATCTTCTACACTTGTAAGTGAAAATGAATGTGGCAGATTCTGAAATGTCACAGTACCCTTCCCTCCAGTCCCCCCACCCCTACAGTGTAGCCTTTCATGGCTTTTTATTCTCCCTGTTTCAGGAAGATAGCCTTACCCTGAACTTAGCTGCTTCTCTTGCCATTGTGCAAGGCTTTCCTTTTGGCTGGGTCAAACTGTGTTTTGTTTTGTTTTGTTTTTCCTTTCCGGCAACTGCATAGACTGTATAGAGAGACCCTCAAACACCACCCTAGATCATGCAGGAGGCATGAGAGTTAATGGTGATGAAGATGTCTATTAATAGGGTGCTACCCGAAAAATGGCTTTCAGTTGGGCAGTGGTGGTAGTGCACACCTTTAATGCCCTGCACTCAGGTAGCAGAGGCAGACCGATTTCTATGAGTTAAAGGCTAGCCTAATCTACAGAGTTAGTTCTAGGACATCTAGGGCTGCTACACAGAGAAACCCTGCCTCAAAAAAAAATGGCTTCCATCCCAAGATGGCATGTCAGCCATCCTTCATTATCTTAATAACCTCAATTTACCTTTGAGGGGCCTTGAACTCAGATGATCTGGAAGTCCTTCAGGCCAGAAAGAAAAAGCCCTGCCCTCTACCTTTCCTTGTTCTGCAACTTTTCTTATCATAACATCTTGCACACAAGGATCTCAGTCTTTAGGGACTGGGTTGGAGTTGGCAGTGGTTAGCTCAGTTCCCGGGTATTTCAAACATCTGTTATCTCTTAGGGCCCAGGACCTGACCCGGAGGCAGTCTCTTGATAGTTAGACGATTCCTTCTCTATAGTGCTCAAGAATGAATGCTTTGGATAAACAATGTCTCTGGGGATCCTAGAGAACATCCAGGGCTCTTAAGGAATTGACCTCTTAGTCCACCTTGCCCAGAGGAGATCCAGCATGTGCAAAACAGAGGGAGGAGGGAGGAGAGAGGAGGTTGGAACCAGGGTGATGGTGGCTTCCTTGGCTGTTCGCGAGCAGTGGACAGGAGACTTGTGGACGTTACAAGGATCCCGGCGGTTTCCAGGTGTGGAGCATCGTGTCACTGGGCAGGATTTCTGTCTCGTCATGATCCAAGCATCAGTCTATGCTGTCTCTCGTGGCACACCTTACACGAGGGGGTTCTCTGTCTCTGGAACTCTGTCAGCGCCAGCACCCTTCCTTTTCCCTGGTGAGGAGATTAGACGGTTACCCCTCCAGGGCTTAGAGTCTCGGCATACTCAGGCTCTGAACACTAGATGTCCTGAATCCAATCATCCCTTCTTATTTTCTAAAATCATGGAGAAGGAGATGTCCCTTAAGAACAGGATGTTCTTCTTAATGTTTAGATGTCATCTGCACCCATGCTATAAGTTAGGGCTGTGCTGTGCCTGGTTAAATGACAAGGAGTCATGTGGCAGAGCTGGGACCAGCCCCTGGACACACACACTGTGTGGAGCTTTTACCTTACCCCAGGTGGCCATAGCTGTTCTTTAATGAGTCTTTAAAAATGCTAGGATAAGTGAAAGGAGGCTATCACAAGGAACCACGTAGTGGGATTCCATTCATGTGAACTGTCCAGAATAGATTAAGAAAGTAGATACGTGGTTGCCTAGGGCTGAGGGGAGGCACAGGGAAGTTGAGGAGTGTTGACTAAGTGGTTATAGTCTTCCTTTGGTGGGGGAGGCGATAGAAATGTTCTAATATTGGTTGTGGATTGGAGTTAAAGCTATGGATTAATTTAAAGCCATTAAATTGTGCACCTTAATGGAGCAAATTGTACAACATATGATTTATATCTCAATAATATAGGTTTTAAAAACTGCTCTTTTCCTGGCTCCTACAAATCGTGGGGAGCAAAGGTTGTGTGTGGACTGGACCCTCTTCCTAACAGACAGGACCCCTAAACGAGGTGCAGTCTAAGGGGTCCACCTCCACCTCAGCTTTCCTGTCCCTTGAGAAAAATGCACAAGTACCTGTCACCCCTGGATCCAATGCCTTGTCACAGATTTCCAGGACACAGCTAACATAGCAAGGCCAGCCAGTTTGGCATGAAAACAGCCATGAAGCCTCTGTCATCTGAGATGTTCCTTTAAGGGCAAGGTAAGGGTGTCTGGGCAGGGATAGTTAACTGTGTGTGTGGAGCCTGGAACCTGATCTCACCAGGTTATCCTCAACACTTTTCTGTAGGAGTTGATGTTATCAGCCACTGGCCAGTGGTGGGGGTGGGGCTTCTCCCAGGAATTCCTTTCTTAAGAATGGTTGGCAAGAAGTGAGTAGATTTCATCAGGCCTTTTCCTCAATAACTATTCACCACTGCTGTTCCTGTTTTAGGAACCATGATGCTCAAGGGACCCACTGGGTGTGTCCCATTGTGACCCAGGCTTTGCTTTGGTTAGGCTCAAAAGTCAGCAGGAGCAGACAGGTCCTTGGGATGGAGTAAGCAAAGGTGATTAAAGGAAGGATATTACTCAGACTGAAGGTAGGCATATAGAGGGGTTGTTGGGGAAGGCTTCCTGGAACACACTCACCTTGAAGACTCAGCGTGAGAGGGCCAGGTGGACAGGGAAAATCACAGCAGTGCTCTGGGCAGAGAGAATATAATGTGCACAGGCCCGTGGGGAACGTGAGCCAGCAGCTCATTTGAAGAATTACCCAAGAAAAGTCAGGTTGTTCAGTCTGGTTGGAGACCAAAGTGCAAGGGGAGGGCTAAGGCATGAGACAGGAGATGCAAAGAGGCGGGGCTTTAACTCTGAGTGGGAGGAGGTCTAGTCCCAGGTACTTGCCAGCATTCCCATCCCTTTCCCCCATGTTCTGCACTTCTGAGACTTCTACCTGAGCAGCAGCCATGGTGCCATGCCCCAAGGAGACCAGCTAGGATCAGGAAGAGTGAGACTGGCAGGACCACCAGCAGCACATCCTTGTAGGAGGCCTTCCCGGAGGCTGCAACATGGAGGGTAGAGTCAGACATGGGCCTCATGTGCCATAGTTCCTAAACCATAGGTTATTATTGGTCCTTGGCCTACCTGCTTCATGACGGCAGCTCTCCCAGGGAGTGACTGTGGCTGTATCCCAGCTGACAGGATTGGAGGCAATGCAGGTATAAGCCACATCTTTGTCTCCTGGTCCCAGCGAGACACGTAACACCTGTCTATTTGAGAAAAGGCCAGGCAGCTCCACGCCAACATCCATTGTCCCCTCCCGTCGCCAGCTATAGGTTATGTCACTGCTGTTGGGGGCCCAGCAGGACAAGAAGACCTGGCAGGTTTGGGGGGCTTGAGCCTCTTCCGTTGCAGCAGTGAACACTTGAATGACAGGCTTAGGTACCGCATCTGTGTCAGAATAGCAGAGCAGAGTGGGTTAGAGGGCTGCTAGGCTGAGTCTAAGCTCTGTGTCTGGGTTCTGCGCCCGGTTAGATGCCTCTTTTGTTCTTCAATCTCATTTATCTTCCCGTTGCTGATTCTTTAGCTGGGTAGCTAAAGGTTTTATGCAATGACTCGTGTCAACCTCTTCAGCCATACTCTCTGCTGGTCTTCCTCGCTATTCTGTTGGTTTGCAGGTCTCCCAAACATGAGCTGCTGTTTCAGACATCGAATGCGTCTGTGTGGCTCATCTGTGCACATAAATGCTTCCTACCTCCCCTAAAGAAATCTGTATTCTGGTTTGTCCTCATACCCACAATGCTCCTGCTTCCACTTTCAGAATGCTGCAACTGCAGGTTTGCCACCAAGCCTGGCCTATTCTTTCCCTTCTTGCCCACCTAGGGACCTCCTATGCATCCTTTAAGACCCGCCCCCCTGTCAGACACACTGTTTTATGCCTCGACTGTGACGCCTTCCCTGACAGTTCAGTGTGACGCCACTCTCCAGGCATTCATTCTGCTCATGTCCTTTGGAAGCACTTCTTTCAGTGTGCCAGTCAGTCAATGAGAGATGACAAGTATTTATTAGTTCAGGTGAGAACACACATCCCTGCACTTGGGAGCTCTCGGTTTGGTGACGGAGACAGACACTGACACGTGACAATGAACAAGAAAATGACTGTAAGGGCATAAAATGCCATGAATGAGGAGCCTGGAGGGAGGGGCTCTGTCATCGCCATAAGCTTAGCTCTCTTGGGCTGGCAAATTGGTGTTTGGTACCTGGGCTGCTAACCAATTAGTGTCCTGGGCATGCTAAGCAGTGGCTCCTCATTCCTAGATAGATTGATGAGTAAGTCCCGAGTCTCTAGCAAAGGGGCCAGTGGGAGAGCATTATAGTGACAACAGGAGGGCCGGATCTCTGACAGCATTCCAAAGTCAAGCAGAGTAAAACCTCGTTAATGCCAGCCCAATCTGGTGGGATTTGTGATATGAAAAAAGAAATGATTTGCTGGGCATACTAATAGTATAAACAGAGATTACAGGGGGGATATTTACACCACTTAAGAGGACAAGCTGCCTCCAAACACGTTCAGGCGCAGTAGAAACACCCATCGACATTTCTGGTAACCGATCTGCTAATTCAAATCATTCTTATCTATTGTCAAAGCCGAGCTCCTAAGGACGGCTGCTTGGCAGCTTCCTGCAATTAGTTCTAATCACGCTATGTATTTGGAAGCAATAAAACAGCAATTTCCTTAAAATCTGTAATTCAGATACTGAGAACAAGGCATTTTAGGGTTTAGTGGTGTGGGTGCTGCATGCATTACCTCGCTCAATGTCCTTGTTTCACAAGTGCAGCAGCTGAGACAGATTAGGGGAGAGGCTCCAGGGCCCGCTTGGCTGTGGAGGTCACTGCACCGGGGCACTGGGGTAGGGGCTGAGGAGGGCTGAAATCCAGCCAGCATTCCGCCTGCTGAGATACACGACTTGCTTCAGGCCTCCAGGTCTCTGGAAGTGTATCCTCTAGCTGTAAATCAGCATCCTAAATGGCTCACCCAAGGGCAGGTAAGACACTGTCTCTGGGGATTTGAGAGCCTCCCAGTGTGCTCTCTCTCTCTCTCTCTCTCTCTCTCTCTCTCTCTCTCTCTCTCTCTCTCTCTCTCCTCCGTCCTCTTTGCAGCCTCTATTCCCACTTCCCATTCTTAATTTGGACTTTCTGCAACCTTTCACATTGAGTTTTTACTGAAATTCTGTGTGGGCCCCGTTCACAGTTTTGTCTCAAGTCATTAGGAAGATGAGATGAATGGGAGTTAAAAAAGGCCTGGGGCAACAGAAATGGATGGAGACAGTGGAGGAAAGAGAGACCAGAAGGGAGAGGGAGAGGGAAATGGAGAAGGAAAGGGAGAGGGAGAGGGAAACAGAGAAGGAAAGGGAGAGGGAGAGGGAAACGGAGAAGGAAAGGGAGAGGGAGAGGGAGAGAGGGAGAGGGAGAGGGAGAGGGAGAGGGAGAGAGGGAGAGGGAGAGGGAGAGGGAGAAAGAGAGGAAAAGGAGAGGGAGAGGGAGAGACAGGGAGGGAGAGAGGGAGGAGAAGGAGAGGGAGAGAGGGAGGAGAAGGAGAGGGAGACAGAGAGGGAGGGAAGGAGGAAGGGAGAGAGCAAGCTCATTGTATCTTCACCCCGTTCTTAGCCAATTCATCCATCCACTCCAGCTGCAGGGATACACGCAGCTGCACACAATGATGCTGGCATTGTGGAGCAAAACCCACCCCACAGACCCTAAGCAATAAAAATAGTGACTATTTTTAGCTCTGAAGTAATACAGCTCAGGTTGACCTTGAACCCACAGCAACCCTCCTGTCTCAGACTCCCAAGTGCTAGGATTACAGGCGTAATTACCATACCCAATAAAGGATCTTTTAGGAAAAGTAATGCTGGGGCAGGGCTGGGGGTGGGGTCTGTACGTTTAGATCCCTGGTAGAATTGGTTCTTAGTATGTTCAAAGCTCTGGGTTGAATCTTTAACACTAACTTTAGAACAGCAGAAAGGAAGGAAGGAAGGAAGGAAGGAAGGAAGGAAGGAAGGAGGAAGGAAGAAGGAAGGAAGGAAAAAACCAACAAAACCTCCACAAAACAAAACAACAAAAACCCATAAAAACAAAAACAAACAAAACAGAAATATAGAACAAAATTCTATAACTAGTTACAGTTCAAGCTGAATTTAACTTGTAAGTAAAAACTAATTATGTCATATGCCACATTTTTCCTTTTCCTTTTTTAGTGGTAATTAAAATAATAGTGCCACATGTAGTCTATGATGCTGCCTCAGAATGGGTCACCAGGCCACTTGGCGCCACACACCGCTTTGCCTCATCCTCACTGGTGTGGTACATGGTGCGCATTATAAGGCTCATGGCACAAATGAGGAAAAGGGGGACGGCCTGGTGGGCGAGCATCAGTCCCAAGCCTGCTGAGTCTAGGAAAGAACGAAGGGACGTAGAGAGAGGCTGGTGGGCTGGCGAGGCGGCTGCTTTGTGAGGGGCTCACCTGGGGAGTGTGTGGGAAGCCCTTTTTTGAATGTGACTTGCTGGGAGCAGCTTTGAGAGAGGGATTTAGCAAAGAAGGCTGTGCCTTTCGGGATCCTAGTCCTCCCCAGCTCCCATGGCTCCAGAAGCATGGCTGGCAGTTTGCAGGAGGAGAATCAGGGAACAAGTGTTGGGGACACTTACCGTACACCTTGAGATGGAGGGTCTGGGTCCAGGTTTGACCCCCTGTGTCTACTACAAGCACAGAGAAGTTGCCACCGTCTCCACTTTTCAGGGGTCCAAGCTCCAGGCTGAGGTTGCCATGTAGCTGGACTCGGCCCAGGAAACGCGAGTGGTACAGAGTCTCCAAGGAACCCCGGAAAAATGTGGCCAGGAGCTCCTCTGATGGCCAGAGAGACCGCCAGATGGCCTCTCGCACACGGAAGCCAGGGGGGCACTCTGCCACCAGCAGCACCGAATCCCCCACTTTGCTTAGCACTTGGACACTGACAGCCACAACGGGAAGGAGTGCTGTAAGGACAGAAACCATGGTGAATGTGCCTGTGTAGACGTCTTGTCGACTCCTGGCAAACATCTCAGTTGCTCGGAATTGAATTGGGGCCCCTCCACCACCCAGCAGCTGCACTGGGCTGAGGGTGTAGTAGTGTGTGTCATGGATGGGGGAACAAAACAGGAAGAGGATCTGGTCTTTGTTCATGGAGAAATCAGACCTCAAGCCAGCCACTAAAGTAAATGAAGTATCATGATGAGAGTAAGTGGCTGAACACGAATAGGTTAGTAGGGGTCCTTGCTCAGCCTGGAGCGGCCTCAGAGAAGAAACAACGCGGAGGAGGACTAGGAATCAGCCAGTCAAGCCGTGGCTGCTGGAGTAGGGATGGAGAAGTGCTACACGCTGAGGGGACAGCACCAGGAAGAATACAAGGGAGAGCATGGGGAAACGAAAGTTCTGTGGACTGGAAGCTAAGTAGGCGAGGCCGCCAAGAGCTGTACCATGAAGCAGCATTGATTTCTGGGATTTTTATTCTAGAACAATGGTGTGTGTGTGTGGGGGGGCACTCGAGCACTCGTGTGTGCTGTATGTGTAGTCACTCAGGAGGTTTTAAACAAGAAAGTGACATGATGAAATGCAGGCCTAAGATGGTCACAGTAGGAGGCATGGAGAATGCCTTGGAAGTGGGGGAAGGCTGAGGTTGTTTATATGCATACAAGAGGGAGGTGGTGGAAGCTTGAACAAGGGAAGGGAACTGTGGGGATGGGGAGAACTGAGTCAGAGAGATTAATAGTGTAATTAGCAAACTGCTATTAGATTAGGTCCAGAGAGTGAAGGAGAGAACTCGGAGAGTACCCAGCTCTTTGGTATTCATTGCCCGTCATTATTTGTGATCTGAAACAAGGACAGAGACAGACAGGAGATGAGAGAGAAGATGCTGAGTTTTCTGAGGACCATTTGGAGTTTGAAGTCTGAAGACAACCCTGTTTGAACTGCCCTCCTGACTCCTTTTCTGCCTTGTTCATGCTTACTCTGGAAGCATCACCATGAACTCTAACCTCTCCCATCTCTCACAGCAAGTATACATTCTTTCTGCTTTCCCACAGTGATCAGGGATCAGCACCCCTGTCCTATTATTGTCTGTTTCGGAATCAACATCTCCCACCAGGCCATGAACTCTTTCAGGTCAAGAGCAAATGTCTTCATCCATGTATTTCCAGTGCCCCAGTTTGATACCAGACTACAGGAGCTCAGTAAATTGTACTGAGTTTGCAGAGGACTGGTCCGAAGCCTGGAGTAGGAGACTCTGGGGTGCAGGCCAGGGTTAGGGATGATATGTAGTGTATCCGAGTGCTGTGAGTTGAGATAAGGAGCCCAGTTCTGGATGGCCACTCTGTTGCCGGTAACTCTAGTCCTTATCCACATCCTTGCCCTCACTGGGCTCAGCCATCTCCATTCTGACAGGACACAGCTTCAGTGTTAACAGTGGATGTCAGTTGAGACTGAGGTTCTCTTGTGTCCTGACTCTGCCACAAATCAGCTGTGTGACCTTCAGCCTCTTACCTTCCTTCTCTAAGTAAGACAAGGGGGCTGCATCCGTGCTGTTGAACCATTCTCTGTTGCCAGTAAGAACCTCTCTAAACATGATTGAAGGTCTGAGAATGTAGTGAGTTCTTGTTTAGTCCTTATGAGTCCCTGAAGGATACAACAGTGTCTTGGAGGGGGTCTGTGAACTTCACCCTGGTCCTGCAGGGGCTGATCTTGTCATGTTGACTACTTGTTGACCAAAGAGGAAGACTCAGGCACAGATTGATGAAAGGCCACCAAGCGTTTGAAGACTATTCTCAAGCCCATAGGAACCATGTTTACCCAGTTGTCACCTCTCCTCTCTTCCCAATGCCCATCTCCCCTTGTACAGGGTGCAGAGAGGGACCCCAGAATTCCTATAGGCTGCAGAAAACATTCCTCAAACCATAGGGAACCCTGCTTTGCTTTACCTTCCCCTCTTCTTCCTGGACTGAAGAGTCCCCATGTGTCAGTAATGACTGACCCCCACCATCCCTGCACCCAACTTTCTCTCAAAACTGCCATCATCTTAGGCTGCTCTGGGTCCTAGAACAGACGGTGTCTCCTGGATACAGATGTTCCTAGTGCTGCTACCCCATTTCATCCAAGACCCTGCTGTAGGTCGCCCCGGGGCTTGCTTCACTCTGCACAACTCCTTAGCTTCTGGGTTCTTACTTGGTTTTGAGAGGCAGCTGTCTAGTGGTCTGATGAGGGAAGCTGGGGAGGGCCTTTCATCTTCCTGAAGACAGGCTGTCTGTCCGTCTGCTCCACTTACCTTCGCAGAGAAGAAGACTCCAGAGGGACCACATGGCCGACATCCCCTTCGGAAGACTCCCTCAACAAACCAGGATATCCTCGGCCAAATGAGTACACAAAAGGAGCTGTGGTCCTGCTGGAAAGTCCCATGTTCAGAAGGAGGAATCTTGACTCAAAACAAGATGTCTTGAAAGTGAAAGCATCCCAAATAAAGTGGAAGTTGGCTGTGGTCCTGGCCGGCCTGACTGAGCTTTCAAGAGCAGATTCTTGTAAGTCAGCCTCTTTTCCGTGCACGTGGCTTGCCAAAGCATGATGACAAGCACATCCACACAGCCCATGTGCTCCTTGCAGATTGTCACCAGGCCTCTCTGCATCCAAGCCTGCCCACGGCTGTGTCTAATCACCATCATTGCCACAGAATGCCTTCTGAACTGTGATTCTGATCGATCGTCACTTCCCTCTGCTTAAAATCCTTTGAAAGCCTCCTGCTGCCCACTGGATAAAGACTAAACAGGGAGCTCAGTGTGTGAGGCTCTCCAGTGTCTCCAGGCTGGCTGCCACATCCCCTTTCCTCTCTGGCCATCCCAGGAAGGTTACCTCTTTTTAGAACCACCCATCGGGCATTTGCACACACTGTGTCAGCTTCCCAAGCAGGCATGCTCGTCCATCTGTCCTTGCAGACCTGGGTCACCTCTGCACAGCCAGGCCGTCCTTTAAGGCTTCTTGACTACGAGCAGAGTGGTGAGCCTTTGTACCAGTGTGCACTTACTCTTTCTTTATGCCTTTGCCATGATGCTGGTCATGGCTTCAGTGGCTCTGTAAGCGGTTTAACAGCAACACTTATATTTGTTTCTGTGCTGGATAACTGTTAAGTGAGTGAATAATGACCACTAGACATGGTTACCCCCTTTTGCTTTTTATGTAAGGCTGAAGACCATTCTCAGAGCTGAGTTTCTCATAGCCCTGGTGGAAGTATTAGTGGTGAAAGAATTTAAAGTCAATGTGATGTTAGGCAGCTTGCTGGGATCACAGAGGGTCAGGGTGTGGGTCTATTATGTCACAGTCACCCCCTCCTCATGCTTGTTCTGTTTTTAGTTATTCAACTGATTCTCCTCCCCCATCCTCTTCTTCTTCCCCCAGTACTAGGGATGGAACGGGAGGCCTCTGGAATGTTCTACCACTGAGTACCCCTATCCCTAGCAGTTTTTCAAGATGTTGCCCTTGAGAAAGATTCCTAAATGTCCTGAATGTGGATCATTGTGTATTGTCCTGCATCGTCTCTAGCTTGTCAGTCAAGTGGGTGTTCATAATTTGGTATCATTGGATCAGGAATTAGACATATAGGATGGGAGCAGGAGAGGTGGGGGAGAGTCCCCGCCTGAAGAAACAGACATTCGGGGGGGAAAAGTGCAGGTTGCTGGCACACACGCATTTCTCTAGACAAATGAGCCACACAGGCAGTCAGTATTGCATGAGGGGTGAGGGGAAGGTGTCTGTGGATCTGGGCAGGGATTGGCTGAGTAGGTAGACTCTGAGCACGGTTTAGATAGGAAGAGAAAAAGGAGGACAGAGGTTCTGATGGACCTTGAACAGAAGGAAAGAGTTGTGTGTGTGTGTGTGTGTGTGTGTGTGTGTGTGTGTGTGTGTGTGTGTGTGAGTCTGTAGTGGGAAAGTACCAGGTAGGCTCCCAGAACAATGAGGGGCAGTCAGGGAGTGCTCTTTGGAAGCCGAAGTGGGAAGAATGGAAGGGGAGATCGGAGTCTGATCACACAGGCTGACCACTGGGTTCAGAGATTCCAGAGAGCAATGGCTCTCCTTGTTAAAAACCGGAGTTCCCAGGGTTGCTGGCTTAGTGGGTAGGGATGGGTCCAGGAATCTTAGTTCTAATAAGCACTATGCCAGGTGAGCATATCACTGATGGACTGAAGCAATGCCCTAAGAAGTCCTGCGTGGAGGCAGGGGGCTGTTTTTGTGCAGCACAGGCTGGGAGAGGAAGAGGAGGGGAATCCAAGAGACAGGAGGGCCTGGACTAGGAAGGAAGTGTCTGGAGGAGAAGAGAAGTCCCAGCAGAGCTTGGAAGTTTCTGGCTGTGGGACAGAGAAGCCAAGGGAAGAGACTCTTTTATGGCCCTCTTGTCAATTCTGTCATCTATTCATCAAGCATTTATTGAGCATCTATTTAGGTGCCAGGTGCTGGGGACACAGAGATGAAAGGCGGAGCCCCCGCCCTTAAGGAGTTCGAAATTTAGAGGAGGAGATGGGATGTGTAGCCCAACAATTACAATCAATGTCACAAGAACAATGTTAGAAGTATGCACAGGAGGCTAGAGAGCAAAGGTCAGGCCTGGGTGGGTGGGTGGAAGGCTGGGAGGCCTTAGTTAAAGGATGAGTGTTTGAAGGAGCCTTTGAGGACAGGTCAGGAGGGGATAGCCCCTTTGAATAAAGACTCCAGAGTTAGTCTTGGATCCGAGTTTGGCCATGAAGCCATGAGAAGAGCAACTTCTGTGCTTCGGTGTGCTCCCCTGAGGGGAACCAAGAGCTGGGTCTCTCTCTTAGTATTGATGGTGAACACCAGGCAGGCTTTACCGTGGATCTTGTCCACAGTGAGGCTCAAGTGTGAACCTTGTCTGCTAGTGGCCAGAGACCGGAAAGAGACAGAGGCGTGTCTGATGTTGACCTGGAGTCAGGATCTCATCTAGACTGGAAGCCCCAGTGACCACACAGAGCGGGCTTCTTTCTCTCTGACCACTCCTGGGGTGCCGAGCGTAGGCTTTCCGTGAGGTGATGACCTGATCGCGCCTGTCAGCTGGCACGGGGTAATTCTGGAGCACACAAGACAAGCGTGGTGTGTGGGATGCCAGAGTCGGGCAAAGCAGGCCAGATCTTTAATTCCTTTGGAGGACACAGCTGGGTGCCCATAGTGGTCCTTTAACAAGTGCCCCTGTCAGCAGACTGGGAAGAGGGGAGAATAGGTAAGGCTTGGAAAACATCCTACCTCCCCAAAGGGGAAAATCCTCCCTTCTGCTGTGTGACAGTTGAGAGAGGCAGACTGAAGGAGGAGGTGCTCTATCCCAGGTGCAGGGAAGGGTTAAGCCTTGAGGCAGGCAGGTTCTCCCCAGAACTGATGCTAATCACTGGTTCACACCACATTAATTACCCAGCCACAGGGGGGAGTGTGTTAGAGTAAATTAGCAGGTGAGTTCAAAGGGGCCACTCCCTGCATTCCTTAATTAAGAGAGCAGCTGGCAGCCAGGGCTGCTACTCCTGTCTCCCTGGGGCCTTTCTGGGAAGCTGGAGTCAGGAGGAGTCTGCGAATGCATACCGAGGATGGAGAAGTGGATTCATCTGCCATGTGGAGCAGCCTGGGCCTCACTACATTTCTACCACTGGCTGCAGGAAGCGTGAGCAGGTGGCCGAGCAACCTGCCTGAACAGAAAACCCAGGGCTGCTTGGTGCAGAGATTCAGGCTGGGAAGGGTTGGGTGAGGGTGAGCCAAGTTGTGTTTGCAATGCCCAGTCTGCACAGGCAGCATGGGGCCATGATTCTTCCACAGGGAGAAGTGAGAAGGTTGTGAGAAGGCTAGGAGACCAGGAGACAAGAGAGCCAGGCAGGGAAAGAGGCTAAGGCAGTAGCTGTGAAGGAAGAGGCATTCAGCAGACTCCTAGGGGGCCAGGGGTAAAGGGAAAGGACCCGGTGGTACTGGGGAGTGGGTAGCCTCTAGGTGCAGCTCTGAGGCGAGATGTACAGCTGGGGCTGAAGAGGGCAGGCAGAACTCTGCTGCTCTGTCAAACTTGAAGGAGGGTCTTGTGGACTGAGATCTTGACCAGACCAAGGCCAGACTGGAGTTATTCCTACTACGCAAGTTTCTAAAAAGCAAGAAATTGTTTAATCAGTTAATTGGAAGGAGGCTAGTTATGTTCATGGGGTCTCCTGTGTTACAGGTTGGCCTTGAACTCACTGGTAATAAAGGATGACCTTGAACTTCTGACCCTCCTGTCTCTACCCCCTGAATGCTTCCAGTTTATGGGTAGCAGGGGACTGAATTATATGCTTTGTGCATCCTAGGTGAACACTCTTACCGGTTATGGCCCCAGCACAGTTTCAATCCTATCGGAACTATAACATTTGAAATGTCTGATTGGCTTTTTGTTCCTCATTTTCCTCTTTTTCTGGCTCTCCCTGCCTCCGGAGCGCAGCTCTGCTCAGTTCATCAGGCACCTTTGCTAATCTTCCGTGTGAGTGGGTTGCTGCTCTGTGAATTGCTAATAGATCATGTAACCAGGTTTGAAGTTTTCTTTTTCAATACCTTGTAAGCCACACCTGTGAGATCTGTCAGCAGATGCCAAGCCGCTGGGCCCCAGCAGCCCCTCCCTAGCCAGCCTTCTTGGGAGCTGTGGTACAGCAGGAAGACAGGGCCTGAGGCAAAACACGATGGGAAAGTACTACTTCAGCCACGCTCTAGAAATAGCCACTGTCATTGAATACAGCTTACTGGTCGCCCCTGAGATGGTGCCGGCCCGGTCTCCTACAGACCTCACCCTGGCTCTAGCCTGGTAAAGAGGCGGCAGGGATGATGTCTTTAGTGAGCCAGGGGCGTGGTGCGCAGAGAGGGAGAGAAGGGGTGTCCATCTTAGGGCCCCTCTGCTTTTGAGGCCATGAGACACCTTTCTAGAGAAGTGAAGGAAGGCTGCATAAAAGAAAACAAAGCCTCCACGGGGTTTTATTAAGGTAGAGAAGGGGAACTGGAAACCCATTTATGCATGCACCCTTCACCAACACTTGTTGGGTTCTCAGCTCGTGCAGATCAGTGCATCGAATAAACAGTCACTGAGCATACATCCAGTGTGTGTGATCCCCATGAGGTCAGAACTCACATGCTGGGTGGCAGCAATCCTGTGTTGATGAGGAGAGTGACCATCGCTATTGGCGTGCTCCACGTGGAAAACGTTCTAGAAACAAGTAGACACGGACTACTTCCTGAACCGATTGAGGAACTCCACGGAGTCTCTACTGAGGCCCCGTGAGCAGTGTGAGAGGCAGGGGCAGACTTGCAGAGGGCTTGCAAGCTGCTGCTGCTTCCAGCAGTTCGGAAGGAACTGAGACCACAAAGGACTCAGAGCTTCTCATTTAAGTGAGAATGTTGACTTCATTTCTTAGCCAAATCTAAACCAACCCGGAACTGAAAGGAATCCCAAGGCACGCACGCAACCCTCTTGCTTCCATTTTGTCTTGAGTCTAAACTGTGTAGCCACGTACAACACAATGACCAGGTGTCCGTATAGCCTGGACTATTCTGGACTCACAATGTAGCTGAAGATGACACTAAACTTCTGATCCTCCTGTCTCCACCTCAGGAGTGCTGATACCTCAGGTACCCATCACCACATGGCTTTCTGAGGTGTGGCCAGGACTTTCCGCATGCCTAGCAAGTACCAACCGAGCTCTGCTCCCAGTCCCCGTATTTTACGGTGTAGTTTACCCGTGAATGGGTCAGAGCCCTGTAGGTAGCACAACTCTTGAGGGGGCCAGCAGAGGGCAGTCACGGGACTCCCAGCTATGGGCTTCCTTCTCCCTTTAAGGAGAAATTCCAGGCTGTTGTACTACACTCCACCCAGACACTGGAGTCTCTAGGTAGTGTGGATCTACAGAGCTCAGGTCACTAGAAGAGGCACAGTCAACACATTCATACATAAAGGTTTGCATTTAGCTCCGACTTGGAGAGAAAAAGATGTTTCCCAGTACAGAATGTGTGGGGCTGCAGGTGGGTAGTTCTGTGACTAGTGACATCAGATGCTGGTGGCGCGGTAGCCTACAGTACTCTCCAGTGCCCTTCCTCAGTGTCAAGAGGGTCTGTCCCTTGAGAACCGATGGTCACTTTTCCCCTGTGAGACACGTCCCTCCCACGGACTGGATGCTAACACCCCACAAACCGGGGACAGTATGGGCTGAAAAGTATGGCCACCTGCAATTTGGGTTCTGCATTTTCTTAGTAATGGTTCATTTTTGAAAAAAAAAAGTTTGTTTATTCCTTTCTAAACCAAGGGAAAAGGATATTTTCAGTTGCACACATGAAGGACCCCGAATTTATAGAAATAAAATATAAGCTTAAACAGGGAGGGCACCCCACTAGAGAACTCAGAAAGTAAACAAAGGGCCACATCCCAGGAACTGGCCAAACCACAGAATGGGATGTATGGTTTAGCAACCTTAATTGCAGAAGGGCTGTAAACCCACAAAAGGCCAATTCCGGGCTGCTGACCACCTGTGACGAACTGACCAGGGCGTCAGAGATGGGCAAACAAGATTTGTGGGAAACAAGGAGATGATAACCACCATTTACTTAGGGAGAGATGATTAACTCATACCAAGGTTTGAGGAATTTACAACGTGTAGGTCAGGAAGACATCTACTTCCCCTGGTCAGTAATCACATAGCCCTTCCCCCCCGTCACAAGCTAGGGACCCCTCCCAAAGGCTTGTGGTTTTTGTCTTTAAAAGCTGATCGTAACTGAACCTCGGGGCCGATTGGTCTAAAAGCTGACCGAGAGGCCCATCTGCAGATGCCTAATTAAAGCCTCTTGCATGTTGCATCAATTGGTGCGTGGACTCTTGATTCTTGGGGTGATGAATCCAGCTTGGGGACCCCTCCTCAATTCGGGGTACCCCAACACACACAGGTCTGTAAAGACAGATACCAGGGAGAGAGCAAAGTTCCTGAGTAGCCAGAAGTAGTGTGTGTGTGTGTGTGTGTGTATACAAGGGTTTCTTACCCATCTGAGCCAAACAACCTGTTTTCAGTTTTTTTAAATTTCCAATCCATTGTGGACTTGTACTTTTGAAGACTGTAATAAAAACAAATCACTAGAAAAGCAAAATAAAAAAGGCATACCTATAAAATACAAGCTCTAATTTTTTATGATTGTATTAAACAAACATTAAATTGCTATAAAAGTTTCTAAATATTTGCTGTAACTTTTGTACTTGTCACAGATTTCTTGAAAGCAGTTCACAGACCAGCATCAGCCTGGTTCTCTGGTGTAAGGGAAATGGGACAACTCAGGAAGGAGGTAGTCTGCGATCCCTGGGAACCACTGGAATGTCTGGAGGCTTCCAGGGCCTTAGCAACAGTGTTTTCCTTCATGAGCTGACGTGTCTATGTTTCGATCTTTTGGTAAGGGGACAGTTTTTCTATGAAGGGAGTAGCAACCGCTTGGGGTCTACAAGCACACTCTGGCTGACCCATAGGGGTCCTCTGCCTCTAGAATGTCTGGTTTGAACTTCTCTCTGAGTGGCAAAGAGAGAGGAGCTCAGTGTTGCCTGGACACGGACAGGATTGGTGATGGGAGAGACCGGGACGAGGGAGGAAAGAGGTTGGTGCGGGAGAAGGGGAAGAGGACAAGGGAATAGAAGAGAAAGAGTAGATGGTAGGGTGGGCGGTCTTCCTAGTTCCCCGTCTACAGGGCAGAACCATAGGCAATTAAGGGGATGGATGCGTTTCCATAATGTGTCTTGTAAACAGAGCAGCCCATTTAAAAGCACTTGCAAATTGCCTGGGGATCACATTGAAATTCAGATCGTCATCCAGCAGGTCTGGGTTTGGGTCTGAGCAGCTGCTTTTCTCTAAGTACCAGGTAACAACAATGGTGTTGATGTTGGGGAGCCTGGGGAGCTTCTATATAAGATGTTAGCGGTCTGAGGTGCCGATAACACTGATGTCTCCTTTGTAGGTAAGTCAGATTCTGCTGTCTGCAATCCCAATGAAACTGGGCCTGAAGGAGCACGTGTCAGATCTTTTCCTGAGTGTCGATGCCTCAAACCAGCGGATGAACCACAGGAAACAGATGTACATAGTTATTTTAACAAAATAGATTTACAACCATTTTTTTAAACAAGAAAGCAGTGACAGACTTTTCTGGTGCACTCTGCAATCTGGAACTCTGGGTAAGCTGAGTTCTGTCTCTGAGCTGAACTTGCTCAGAGCTGCAGGTGAAGGCAGAGTCCTTGCTGTCTTCAGGGCTCTGGCCCTATTGTCAAGATTCTATGAAATTATCCAGGCAACACATTTGCTGGCTGACCTTGGTGCTGCCGAACATCTGAGGGGTCTTTTAGTCCTGTAGTCACAGCTTCATGCTTGGCTTTCAGGCTAAATGCAAGCATATTCTCTTTTTGTATGAAATCTATTTATCTTCGTGTATTTATTCACAGACACACGTATCTGTCTGTGCTTAGTATCTGGTATCTTATTATCTAGTATCTTATCCTTTGCCTGTTATGTTACCTATGCTGTCTATCATCTATCTATCTCTATATACTCACCTATGCATCTATCATTTATCACCTCTATCTATCATCTATTTATCTCCATCATCTATCTATCAATCATCTGTCTATCTGGAAGAAACACCCTTTTCCATTTGCATTGAAAGAAGAGATATGTGGCTCTGGGTCCCACCAATTGTACTTCTGGAACTGTTTGTGTGTGTGTGTGTGTGTGTGAAGGTGGGAATTGTTCATTCCCATGCGATTGCCTGGTTTCCCACTCAGAAGAGAACCCACAGTTCAGGAGTGCCTGGCCAGGAGTAGGGCACAGGGGCCCCCCTCCCTGTGGACTCAGGAACTGGATGACCCACAGAAAGCTGGAAGCAACTGGGCAGCACTGGGGAACAACAAGGGAGCACTGTGGGCTGGAGGTGAACATGGGCAGATGGAGGGAGGCACTGCGCTACCAGGGAATCCCATCATCAGACACCAAGGGGTTATTGGCTTTTCATGCTGTTTGGATCCAGATCATTCGTGGTGATCTCACTCAGCGGCTGTCTTTTCGCTGGTTTGTTCACCGTTGCATAGATGTGATTGTCCTGCAGGAAAGGTAGGTCAGTACGGGGAAGCAGGCATGTGTCAAAGGATGAGGAAGGGCAGGGGTCCCTGCTTACTTGTACTTCTGTAGTGAGCTCCTTAGGTCTGGCTGTGGGAGGAGAAACATTCGGTTCAGAAAGTCTGCATTCATCTTCTTTCATCTCTTGGCTAGTGCCCTTCCCTAGAGAGTACAGACCACAGGAAGAATTAGGGATTGGGATCTTCCCATCTACCTCTGGACCCAACTCCATCTTTCTCTTATCATGCAGAAATGTCTGAATGCAAATGTCACCTGAACAGGTTCTAGACTTTAGAAGAGAAAGAAGGAGGTGATGGGAAGTTAGATGGATAAAGACTGTTGTACTGATAAAAGGAAAAGAAGCTAAACGCTAACCCAAATCCTAACTGGGTATCCAGTGAGGGAAGAAATTGGTCCTGGGCTTAGAAAGAACACCTTTCAGACTCTTGGATTGGTGGGGATGGTCTATCTTGATGAATAAGTGAGCTTCCGGAAGGCTCATCAAAATTTTCTTGGCAGAAAGAGCTACCAACTTGAATAAATATGTCTTGCTTTAGAAGTCTATTAAAGCAATCACTTTTGCCCTAGACTAAATAGAAAATAAGAACATTGTCCCCATGGAGGGAGAGGTGGGTTGATTTAAATATCTATAGGTACATTTAAAGACCTAGAAACAAATTGGAACTGGACATCCTTGAAACTGATAGCCATTTCTTTAAGTATGGCTTGAAATAAATGAGGCTTCAAGGGGAGTAAACATGTAGATATACAAAGTGTTTACTTTGAAAGCCAGCAGCCATGCTTAAATATCATCACCAAGACAGGGAGAAGAAGTTACAGAGAAATGAGAAAATTCAAGTATCTAACTAGCCTTTTCAGAAGATAACCCTGGAGGAACTTGGTGCGCAATCTGCTTGTCCCAGAATGAGAAATCACCAGGAAGCCACTTATGTACCAGTGAACCCATTACTTGTAGCTGTATTTTATCTCATTAATTTAAAGCCTCACAATATCCCTGACAGGGAGATAATTTGATGACTCTTAGAGAGCTCTGATCAAGCTACAAGTGGCAGGGTTGGGAGTTGGCCATTGATTTGTCCTCTCTATCATATTTCCTTTCTGATGTGTTAGTATCCAAAGAAGACTCATCCTGGGTACCACACTGTCCACGGTGGGTGTGTGAGTACGGACCTGTGCACCCTAGCTCTTATTTACTTCTATCTCTTAGCAGACTTGGGGACTGCTGAGTTTAGTGAGAGCAGCTTAAGGCCTTCTTCAGTGTTTTACCTCCTGTCATATTCCATGCCACAGATTATCTTTCAAATGTGAAGGCCACCAATATAAATCATATCTATCTTGTAAGAATTCTTTGGTTCATGCTTCTATTCATGCCTGAGTGTGTAATAGTGGGTTTGTATCTCCGTGACTGCGATCACGTGAGGCTGGACATCTCTTTGTGTATACTGAAAACTCTCTGTGTCCTTCTGAGTGTTCCTTTGTGGGACTTGGGAAGAAAAGTCTCTCTTCTCATGTAGGACTCAGGTAAAGAGAATGGCTATGTCTGTCAGGCTGTGTTTTGTCAAAGGCTGGCAAATGCCAGAGATTTAGCAAGTGAGGAATCAAAAAAGAGTTACTAACCATCTTTTTTACAGGGCCTGAAGAAGTGAATTAGAAACACAGTGGCAAGGACTATCCCACACAGCAGGCTTGCAAGTAGCCAGGCAATTGACCGGTTGCTGATGGCAGACAAGACTTGAGAACCTGAGAATGGGGAAGGAACTATGTGCATTGTCGAAATTCAGAAATACATTCCAAACCGACACAGGAGACACAATGGACAGCTTAAAAATAAAACAAACAAACAAACAAACAAAAAACAAAACCCCAAAACCAAAACACATGGCCCTGAGAAGCCTTGTAAGTGGGAAAGACGGTACAGAAGGGACTAGCATGACTGATCATGCTATGGATGGCCCTGTAACCCCTCCCCCCTGGGGCTCCCCACCCTCTGCCAGTGCAGAGGATAGACATTCCAGTCTGGGTCTGTAGATCATTAAGTAGAACCATTATTGTGCTAGGTGTGGTGGGGGGTGGCAGAGGAGTGAGAGCTGCCTGAGGCTCGGAGATCATGTGGGACAAAACATACCAACCAAGGGGAACTTCCGGGGCTCACTCCTCTCTCTGGAGACATTATTTTTTGCTTCGCAGGAATAGTTCCGAGCACTCCACTCTGGCTTCACTGAGATGAGGAGGGCGGCGACTCGGCCAGCGGAAGCCAGGGAGTCCCCTAGGATCTCTCCATCAAGGTAGAATGAGCACAAGATTGGAAGGGAGCCACTCTGGACCTCACAGAGAAACTCCACCGTGTCTCCCGCAGCAGGGTTAGTGGCTTCGTGGCGCAGAGTAACCGCAGGATGGGATACGGGCACTGGATGACACAGGGAGAGTCAGTCTGACTGACCAGGATCCAGGATACTTTCTCCCCTGGGACCCCAACATACTCCCAGCGAGGCCAGCTGGACCCCTGAGGAGTGTCTCTCTTCCCTTATCTGCTTACCCTGTACTTGGATCTCCAGTCGTTGGCTTCGTTTCTGGATTAGGCCGTCCTTAGTGTCCACCGCACACTGGTAAAGCCCAGAGTCTGCCTCCTTGATTTCTGAGATGTGGAGTATTGGGTTGTGACTCCTGTTCTGAATGGCATGACCATCCTTGTAGAAAGAGTAAAAGGACCACAAGGCTAGCTTCTGGGGGTGCAGCTTTGTCTGACACCTCAGGACCAGCGGTCTCCCCTCTTGGAAGAATGGAGGGAGGACAGAGCTCAGCACAGGAGTCTGGAACAACTCTGGGGAGACATAAGCCCAAGGCTCAGGAAGAAAGTCCCAGACGGCGTAGCCCTGGAGGCCAAGGACTGATCTCCGCATCACTCAGGCTATCACTCCTAGACCTGCACCACTCCTCCCCCCAGTCCCCATCACTCAGGCTATCTATCGCTCTGAGACCCAGAGGAGAAACAACTTCATCCTCAGAGCTTGTCCATTGTCCTCATGCAGTGAGTCTGAAATGACTCCTACAAAGCCAGGTCCTGTGAGAACCCCGGACACTCAGAGCCAGAAGACCCCTTAGTGGTTGTGGTCCTCAGAGGGGAAAGATGGGTAGATGAGTTGGCCCAGGGTTCTTCCAAATCCCTTGCAACCTCTGGCTACATGTTGGACATCATTGTGGATATCTCAGGACCCGATGAATTGGCTCAGCATCGTCTAGAGTAAGGGGTCCTAGAGAGCCACTGACTTCCAGGATCCCTGAACCTACCTTACTGTTCCACCAGGCCTCTCCAACTGGTGACTCACCTTGGACTTCAATCATGACTGGTTCTGAGGCTTGTTCAAAATCCACCACTTTCCCACCGCAGCTGTAATTCCCGCTGTTTCTCACTGTTACTGTCCTTATGGACAGAGGGCTGTTGTTCACAGAGAAATTAAGGAATTTTCCATCTTTGTAGAACTTCACCTGGGACAGTGTGTGGTTCGTTGCGCTGCATTGTAGAGTCAGTGTGTCTCCTTCAAACACAGGGTTTGGATGGACTTGGAGATGTACCCTAGCTGTGAGATATGGGACAGAACCAGCCATGGAATGACAGGTCCCATTGCTTTACTGTTCTCTGAATGTTCCAGATGTAGGCCTCACACTAGGGACAGAGACTCCTGCACAGTGCCTTTGTTTCTGGGTCTTCACGCGAGACCAGGGTGAGGCAAGAACTCAACTTTCTTTTCTTCTGCAGGCCTGCTCCCGACCACTCTCTTTAGTCTTCTGCTTCCCCAAACCCCATCCACTCCTGTGCCTTCTCCTGGCTTTCTGCCCTCCCATCTTCCTCTTCCCATTTTATTTCCATCACCACACTGTCAAGTTTTCCAAGGCGATTTCATCCTCTCCGTTGTCTGACCTCACTCCTCTTGATTCTGTTCCCACCTTCCTCTGTTGGTTCAAATCCCCCAGTGTGACATTTTCTTCAGCCATTATGCCTGCTGAGAGCTACATAAATGCCCACCAGGAAAACAACAGCAACAAAAAACAACTTCTTGTCTAGGTTTCCCCAGACCTAGGGTTCATCTCTACTCTGAGAAGGGAATTCCGTTTCCCATCAGTCTAGGTGAGATGTGCTTTCTCTGTCTGTCCTCCTAAAAGGCTCTCTGAGCTCTGATGTGGGCAAGAGAAAGGGTCCCAAAGATTTACCATCATCTGCAGGGCAGGCATGTTGGGTGTGTTAGACACGACTAGCTCAGACCACCTTAGGAGTCTAGACAAATGGTCTAAGATTCATGAAGAGTAATCAGATAAGGAGTGCTGACTTTGGTTCCATCACCTCCTGCCTTTGCCTGCATCTCCCTGGACGCTTAGGGCCTCCCGTGCCACCTAGAAGCAGAACAGTAATGTTCATATGCTTTCTACTACTGCCCTTTGTATTGGCTCCAAGAATGAACTTGAATGACTTCTGCATGCATCACAGAGGTCAAGAGGTCCACAGCTCAGAGATTTTCCTCTGCTTGATGGGAAACACCATGAAGGCTACGAGACAGGAGGAGATGGAGGGCAGAGGAGCTGAGAAGAAAAGAAGACTAAGACAAAGATGGGGCTTTCCTGACTGGAAAAGGGACAGGAGTCCAAACCTTGGTACCACAGAGCCACACTGAGAGGACAGGAAGCAGCTAGAGCCATGTTTAAGAGACTATGAGGGACCTCAGAGCTATCCTGCAAAGACTCCTGTGATATTAGAAGCACCTGGAGCCTGAACCAGTGGAGACTTGTTCTTCCCTTTTCCTGGACTCCAGCTAGGGATTCTGATGATGGAACCTTCTCTGGGTCTTCCTTGGAAATGAGGGTCAACAAGGGTACTGTCATATCCCTTCCCATTAAAATGTTGGCCCAGGAATCAGAAGAGACATGTTAGACTTACAATTTGTCCCAACACAGGAATCTGTAAGAGATCAAAGTAATAAAATTAGCAGAAAAACTTTCATATCAATGAGTGGTATTTATATCATTTTAAGCTGCCAAATACCTAGGCCCAAGACACCTAGAACCTGCTACCCAACCACCTAATCACTAAACCATCCAGTTACTTCCCCCAACTGTTTAACTAGTAAACGTTTATAGTGGATATATTCCCTACCATACCCAACCCGCACCTGATCAAAATTTGCCCTCCCAGACAGGTCCTCCCTAGAGCAGCAATTAGAATTCTTCATAGAATCCTATTGTATCACTATTACTCTTCGGAGTACTAAGCAGTATTTTAATTAATTTGTGAGACAGGGCCTTACTCTGTAGCCTGGAACTTATTATATAGTCCAGGCTGGCCTCTGACTCATGGAAATGCTCCTGTTTCAACCTCCTGGGTGCTGAGATGACAAGTGTTAGCTACTGTATGTTTTGAATTTGTCCTAAGTTGCCAGCATGTTATTGTTTAATTTTTCTCTGTTCAGAATGTAATCTGACTGCATGTCTTAGTGTTTCTTATACCCAGGACCTGTGCCTGGAACACTAAATTAATACTAAGTATGATGGTTAGTCTTTGCAGCTTGGTTGGATTAAGGAATGCCCAGGAGATTAGTAGAACACACCTCTAGGTGTGTCTATGAGGCCATTTCCAGGGATAAGTGGGTCATGAGAGCTCTGTTATAATGAGTGGATTCATCCTTTGATTGTTTCAGAATATGATGGTATTATTGGGAGGTGCCCAAAGTAGGAGATAGGACTATGGAGGGAGTAGTTCACTGGAGGTGTGCCCTGGAAGGGAATATCTTGTTCTCTGTCTCTTCCTTGTTTACATCCTGGTTACCATGAGGCAAGCAGCATTCCTCCATCATGCCTTTCTACCATGGTCTTCCTGCTTTACCACCTAAAAGCAATGAATCCAGTTGACCACATATTGAATCCTTTGGAACCATAAGCAAAAGTAAACATTACCTGCCTTAAGTCAATTTTGTCAAGCATTTTGTACCAGTAACTAAAAACTAACTACGGCAGGGTGGTGGATGAACAAGGGGCACACATGTGCCACAAGCTGTCACCCTCGCTGTTCAAACTGCTTCGGATACAGGTGGAGAATTTCAACCTAATTTTGTATTCAGCTCAGGGTCAGCACATTTATAGGGTTTTCAAGTTTTTTCAGAACTATAAAAGTCTCTTTCCATCCATCTCCCCCACCCTTCTCACCTATGAGCTTGATGTTGTAAAAAAGCAGGCAGAATTTGGAAGCAGATAGCCTTGACTGGATTTACAAATCTGCTTCTTTCTGTGTGAGCTAGGACAAAGTGCCCAAATTCCAAAAGCTTCCAATTCCTCATTTTGTCATATCATATAATTGGGAATGATAATAGTAATTTTTTTAGAATAGTAATTTTTTAATAGGTGGTTATAAAGGTTATATTGACCCACTGCCTGTGAAACTGCTTATCACACTAACTGAAAATGAAAAGAAGGTTGGACCTTGGAGCAGATGGGAATCTGCTCTGTAGTTAGGTTTTCCCTACTTTTCTTTCTCACTGGAAAATGACCTTGCAGTTACGAAATGCTGAGCACACAGGACTGAGAGTCCAGACGCTTATAACAAGACAGAAGTCACCCAGACAGCAGAGCCACTTCTGAGAGCTCACGTCACCAAGTCCCCATGACTTGTTGCTCCATTTTACAACAGAACCTTGGAGGGATGAGTGTGAAATAGGCCTCTGTAACCAAGATGGTCTCATACTGAGTGACACTTCCCTACGCAGCTCTTAAGATGAGGGCCCCAGGGCCTTAGTTAGATGTAGGTTAAAGTTGAGGTGACAATATGACAAGATTTCTAAGAGCTATTGTCAGACTAAGTTGTATTGTAGAGCCCTGGACGTTGGGAGCAGCTGGGAGCTTCTTGCTTCATAGTGGGAGTAAGAAGAGAGCTGAGCTCCCAGCACACCAACAGAGCATATTGAGACAAGGCAAAAGAGGATGAGGGACAGGGTTTGGAGACCATCTCTATCGGAATGTTGAAGGATGCAGGAGATACTTATCTATAAAGATACAGTAGAACATGGACACAATAGTGGCCTTCAGTTATTCTTCCAAAGAAGGGAAAGATTCATTGTGAGTTACTTTATGGGACAGAAAAGAGACTAATTATTGAAAATTAGAGGGATCAGGGAGGCAGATTTAACTCTACATGAAGAACTATCTCACAGTGGTCCCTTCTATGGAGGAACATGCTGCTTTGTCAAGCTATGGCTGCCATGGTGCCGAGGAGTGTGGGGAGGGAGGTGGGCTCCACTAGGAGAGGGAACTTGTCTAATTTTTGGCTCAGAGGAAAGCTAAGGATCATCTCTCAAACTTTTCCACATTTAATGTTGAGGCATACCCTATCATGTTTGATGCCAGGACCTCTCTTACTCTAGACACCGATAACCGATAATTACTAATTGTTGCAATTATCATGACCACATGCTGCACATTATTTAAAATGAATTTCTGTTTTCTAGTATATCTATTTATTTGCTTTTGAGACAGGGTTACTCTGTGTAGCTTTGGAGCCTGCCCTGAAACTCACTCTGTAGACCAGGCTGGACTCGAACTCACAGAGATCCTACTGCCTCTGCCTCTGGATTGCTGGGAAGGAGGAATGAGGAAAGCACGGGACTCAGCCTCTGATGGATAGGTGTTGCCATTCCTGTTTTGCTCTTTTTAACTCCAGGAAGGTTTCTGAGGGCCTTGGTTTCCCCATTGTTTAATAGGGATTAAAAAGAACTGCTCTAGAAAATTCTAATGGCTAGATACTACAAAGCAGCCATTCAATGGTTTTGTTCTGCTTCTCTTCTCCTTCTCTCTGTCCACAGCCGAGAGGAAGCAGCAGCTGTGCACTTACTGCAGCTGTTACCACATACCTACCCCTGGG